ATTAATCGATTATTAAATTAGTCATCGATTATTTTAATAATCGATTAGTTGTCGATTAATCGATTAATTGGTGCAGCCCTATTTAGGTTTCATGAACAACTCTGTCCCCTTAAGATTATAATAGCTCTCTCTCTCTCTTTGCAAAGTTTTTCTGGATGTTTAAAGTGAATGTGTTAAGGTGAGCCTTATTGTAATCAACCAAATCATAAAATTTCAATAATTTCAGTTTACAGAATAATATATTAGATGGATAATGGTAATGTTTGAGTGATAACTCTTATTGCTCTTTTCTGCAAAACAAAAACAGGATGTGTAATAGTCTTACATGCTTTAGCCCATACCTCACCACAACAGACAAAGTGTGGAACAATTAGTGTGTTATATAACATATAGAGCTTTATCATTAAACAAGTTCCTTACTTTATAAAGCAATGCAATAGATTTAGCTAGTTTATTTCTTAAGTGATTAACATGTGGTCTCCATGTCAGTTTCTCATCAATAACACCCAAAAACCTCATCTCACTGACTCTATTAATCTCCACGCCATCAACTCTAAAAGAAGCATTAACAGTTTTTTTGCTCATTGTAAATATCATATAATTAGTTTTATCCAAATTGAGTGATAATTTGTTAAGTTTAAACCAGTTTTGTATTTTCGCAAATTCTATTTGCATTTTCTCTAGCATCCGTTCTATGCCCCGCCCCCTGCGAATATGATAGCATTAGCCGCATATGTTCCATCGAGGTCTTATCTTGGATAAGGGTGCTAATCCAATAACAACCCGAACAAAAAAATATGGTATCATCTGCAAATAAAACACATTTAAAGAGCCCTGACACATTAACCAAGTCATTCACATACAAGATAAACAACTTTGGTCCAAGTACAGAACCCTGAGGAACTCCACACGTAATTCTACATAGTTCAGATCTGACATCATGTACTTGTACAAACTGTTTCCTATTTTCCAAATAACTAGATGTCCATTGTAATGCTGGTYTTCTAATCCCATATTTATTTARCTTTTCAAGTAGAATGCTGTGGTCAATCATGTCAAATGCTTTCTTCAAATCAATATAAATACTGGCATAATATTATTTTTGATCAATAGCATTTATTATTTGTTCTGTCAGTTCCATAAAAGCCACTGAAGTTTTTGTTCCCCTGTCCTGCTGGCAGGAAACATTTCACACCCCAAATCCAAAAAAAAAGCAGCATGAAGAAACCCAAAACGTCACATTTCAAACCTGACATCATTTTAAAGAAATAATATCTCCTTTCTAATCTAATTACCTGGAAGAGTTCAGGAGCAGCGTAAGGAGGAGAACCACAGAAAGTGTCCAGTTTCCCACCTAGAGTGAACTCGTTACTGAAGCCAAAATCTGCGATTTTAATGTTCATGTCGGCGTCCAGGAGGAGGTTCTCTGCCTGCAGGGAGGAGCAGGAGGAGGTTCGCACACTGAGAGGTTTACAACAAACAACTGGGTCTGACACACACACACAGTTTGTCAAGTTCAACATTCACAGTGTGTTCCAGGAGTTACCTTCAGGTCCCGGTGGACTATGTGCTTCTGGTGGCAGTACTGGACTGCAGACACAATCTGTGGAGACACAAGCACTGACTGAACAGGCTCAAACACCTGAGCTGCACCTGTTATTGTATATTATGGGATGTGTGTACAGAAGTAGGGCTGGGAGATATGGCTAAAACATTTATCACAAAAGAAGTGTTGAATATCGGTGGATATCAATAATTATTGATTARTTTTAGACGTCGTACATTYGTTGTACTTAAAATATCTGAAATTCTGCCCGACTGTTGACCTTTCCTCTTTTATCCACAAATTCCTCTGAATTCGTTGCATCATTTCCTCCTCTCACTCCATGCAGTTCTTTTTTTATTTTGAAGCCGTTATGAGGTGAAACTGCTGCTGCACGTTACTCCGCAGCTTGTTTTGCTAGCAGACTGCAGGCTTTTARCTGTTGGGGCGTCGTATGGTCACCCTCTTTCGTTCTTAGATGTCTCATTTCAGTGTAACAGCATCCTGAATCAATAATTCATTTCATATTAATGCCACGATGGTGAACCGGTCCGGTAAGCTAGTGCTCCTTCACTCCAATGTGTCGACAAGAGGGAGAAAGGCACCCTGAGTTACACACATTTCAAAATAAAGCACCAGGGATTTGTTGTCTATTAGCAGCTTGAAGCTTTTATTTTGAAGGTGAATCTTATCTTTCCTGGTGTTGTTTAGCTGAAAGATCCTAGCTTATTTTGTCAGAAAGTTATCAATCGTTAGTTAATAACCAGTGAAATTATTGATATTTTATTTTCTATTGATATCAAACACGAGTCTATTGTGATAAAAATGGTTATTAGGGCTGCAACTAACAATTATTTTAATAATTGATTAGTCTGTCGATTATCTTTTCGATTAATCGGCCAAATCATTAAAATGAAATTCTTTTTGATGACTTAACCAGCTGGAGTCAAAACAGAGGAAGCGTGGCTGAGCGCGCAAATGAAGAGGGGGAAAAAAACGTATCCGGACCTGGTTCAGGTGTGTGAAAACGAACGCAGAACTGTTTACATGTTTACGTGACGGTGCGTCCTCCGGTCGGATGCCGACCGACCACACTGCCTGCTACGGGAGGAGCGTGCGCTGCGACATGTGTGAAGGGCTCGACACACGGGAGGCGACGTCGCTCGCTCTCCATTCATTTCCACGCAGCGAGGCGACTGTCAGAGCAGGTGAAGTCAGTGCTCAGGTGAAGTCAGTGCTCAGGTGGGACGCACAAAAATCAGTCTGGACCTCGTTTCTCCTGCGGTCATAGCGCGACGACGCACGGCCGAATGCGCGCGCACTCCAAAGCACTACTATAATGATTGTCACCCCGCCGGAGCGAGCACAGATTAAACAGGTGGAGTGCAGAAAAAATAATCTGCAAAGTGTGTAGAA